TAAAAATTGCCCACTTTATTTTTCAAATATATATATATTATTTTTATTGATTTCAGAGAGGAAGGGAGAGGGAGAGAGAGAGAAACATCAATGATGAGACAGAATTGTAGATTTCCACCATCCTCATTTTAATATACCTGGTCTGTTAACCAATAACAATGAACAAAAAATATAAAAGAGCCAGCAAGCATGGCTTTGAGAGCAGCAGGAGAGGCGGTCTCAGAGCCCTCTGTGAAAGTCCAAGCTATACATGGGCAGGCTATGGGAGCTTGTGTTGGCGGTGGGAAAAGGGCACCTGGCGTTAGCCATGCGTTAGGCTGGACGGTTCAGCAACCTCCCTCCTTGAGTTTGGCTTGAAAGAATTCAGAGCCAAGGAACTTAAAGGAAAATTTAGAAAGTGACAGAAGTAGTAAAAGGGCCCTCCCTTGGAGCTTAGAAGCAAGAGGGCGAGAGATATGCATCTTGAGGAGAAAGGGAGGAGAGGCGCAAGGGCATACTCCAGGAAAGAGAGCATGCCCTGGGGAAAGAGGGGGTGGGGAAGGGGGCTGGATGCTCCTTAGAGCTTTTATCTGAAGGTCTCAGGGGAAGATCTCAATAGAGCATGTTTCCCCCAGGTCTCCTCGGGGCCTCCACTGAGTGGTTGGTGCCAGGGGGTCATTAGTCAATGCAGCAGGTCCTGATATGGTGCTGCTTCTCTGGGCCTGGAGCTGAAACAACTGAAGCCTAGATGTCACCTTCCAGGAGTTAATGCTTAAGGGAGTGGTCAGGCAAGGGTTTGTGGTTTTGTGCGTTGCTAGGCACCTGGGGCTCTCCGCCCTGGTGACCCTCTGCAGCTGGCCCACGGTTCTGCTCTGCTCATGCTGTTTAACTGCCTACTCCACTTGCATTATAGGAAAGGAGAACCTATGAAGTATGTTACAACTACGCCTCTTTAGACTACATTAGACTGGCAGAAGTCGAAAAGCTGGGTCATTGTGCCAGGGGCTGGGTGAGGCTGTGGGCCTGCAGGCACTGTGTGTTGCTGGTGGGAGAGAAGCCTGGTGCAGCCATTGTGGAGAGGAAGCAAGCACTGTTATTTGTGGTGAGGGGAGTTGGTGGAGTCTGGAAGAGAGGATAGGCCAGGCCTTACCGGGTAACTCAGTTGGTTAGAGCATTGTCTCAATATGCCAAGGTTGCGGGTTTGATCCCTGTTCAGGGCACATACAAGAAGCAACTAATGAATACATAAATAAGTGGAACAAATGGATGTTTCTCTCATTCTCTCCTTACCTCCTTCTCTCTTAAAAAAAAAAGGTAGGCAAAATGTGGATGCACACTGGGATTTATTATGCAGCAGAGAGAAACAATAGATTAGATGTACCTATAGTGAGTGCCATCGGTGGATCTTAAAAACCATTCTGAGTGAAAAAAGATTCAAAATGAAATATATAGTAATGCCATTTATGAAATTTAAATGTGTAGAGAACAGCAAAACACATTTTACAAGAATGCATACCAAGAAAGATACACATTACACCCATTAGAACAGTTGGCTAAAGACAGGGAGGACCTGTGAAATACATGAAACCAACAGAGGAGAAAAAATAACCTGAAAGAACTTGGAGGGTGAATACTGGTGCGAGGGCTTGTCCTAATGGGAAACCGTGTGGGCGTGCGTCCCCATTCCACCCATGGTGTGTTGGTAAATGTTTAACATGTTGGTCAGTGGTTCTCAAGGGAAAATAAACTCTGATTCATGGCGTTTACTGAGACTACCCTGCTAGGGCTGATTTTCAAAGACAGTCTGGGAGATGCACCCTTGCTGCTCTCCTGAGTCTGCATGATGGAGTTTACAACTTCCTTCCTGCTCCCTGCGATCCGCAGTGTCGTCAGTAACAGTAACTGTTTGAAGGCCAACATCTCTATGTCCCAGGTAAGGCAGAACTCTAGTGGGAAGTCATGATACACACGGCTCACCCTTTAAGGCTCATGGACCGGGCACTACCACCCCAACTGAAATCTATTTTCTTCTTCGTTTCTTGAAAAATGGTAGATATGTTTCTATCTCCCCAATTATTATTGACCAAATAAACCACAAATTATCCCCCAAATGTCTACTTTTTTGTTGGCTGATAAATGCAATTAGCACCATATTTCCTAGGAAAAAAGCTATTTCTTTGAAAGGATTAACCATTACTGGTAAAAGGTCTAGATAAGACTCTACCTGAAAAGGAAAATGGGGGTGGGGGGGTGGGGGTAGGGAGGGCTTGCAACCTAGTTCAGCATCAGGTTAAAACTGCAGTCTTACTTCCCCACTCTGACTGACTTGGGCGGAGCTGCAGAGCCTAACCCCAGGGCCCGCCACAGCTGACTTGGGCAGAGCTGCAGAGCATGCCCCCAAGGCCTCGCCAAGACTGACTTGGGCGGAGCTGCGGGGACCCTCAGGGGCCCGCCACAGGAGGGGATATATAGGTCAGAGCCTCCCCATGAGTAGAATTCAGGCTTTGGATTCGGAATTCTCCTGGACTACCAGATCTGAGAAATAAAGGTTAAACTTTCCTCCCTCAGAGTGCTGGCTGATCGTTCTCCCGTGCATTCTGCCACAACATACCAAGTCATAACTTTAAATTGTTCATCCTTTAAAAACTGCAAACATACACCAGCAGCATTTCCATACTTCTTCAGGAAAACATGAACCACTAAAAAAATTCTTCCTTGTCATGCCATCAGAGGCTCTCAACCTCATCACTATGGACATCCTGGCTCAGATAACTCTGTTGTGGGGGCTGTCGGTGCACCATAGGATGTTTAGCAGCATCACTGGTCTCTACCCACTCCATGTCCATGCCATCCCAAAACCAAAAATATCTCCAGACACTGTCAAATGTACCCGGTGGCAAAATCACCCCCAGGTGAGAACCACTGCATTAGAAATATCCAAATCTTTTATCTGAGGAGGCTTTGCCATACAGCATTATACGGTAAAGCAGCTGTCATTTGTGTCAAGTAGGAATGAGTGCGTTACAAGAGTTCATAAATCTTTATGAAATGCTTTTGTTTAGATCAGTTTTTGCCACGAGCTGTGACCAAACCAACATTTTCCATCATCAGATATCTTCTTAGTTTGAGTTTTAAAAACAGAAGTCTGGAATGGGTCAAACTGCCAAATAGCTAAGGTAGGTACTAATGACCAATAGTTTTAAAGAGCCGTTCAGCCCTAGCTGGTTTTGCTCAGTAGATAGTGTCAGCCTTCGGACTTAAGGGTCCCGGGTTCGATTCTGGTCAAGGGCACATGCCTGGGTTGTGGGCTCAATCCCCAGTAGGGGACGTGCAGGAGGCAGCCGATCAATGATCCTCATCATTGATGTTTCTATCTCTCCCCCCCTCTCTGAAATCAATAAAAAAATATTTTTAAAAAACTGATGTTCCTGGGTTTTCTGAAACCTGAGCTGGTCCATGGGCCCAAATAGCCCACTGCTCCAGGCTACAGACATTTCCCTTCACTATCAGTTAACCTGAGTTCTCAAGAATTGCTGGAGCCAGACAGTCTTTCTGACATTACATAACCTAATAAATCTATTTGAGCTGACCCTTCCAGTGGCTGACTTATGCAAATGACCTTTCCCTTAGATCAGTGGTTCTCAACCTTCTGGCCCTTTAAATACAGTTCCTCATGTTGTGACCCAACCATAAAATTACTTTCGTTGCTACTTCATAACTGTAATGTTGCTACTGTTATGAATCGTAATGTAAATATCTGATATGCAGGATGGTCTTAGGCAACCCCTGTGAAAGGGTCGTTCGACAACCAAAGGGGTCACGACCCACAGGTTGAGAACCACTGCCTTAGATGATGTATATTTGTGTGTCCCTTCTACTACTACTTTATATGTTTGTCCCTTTTATAACACTCGAGAATTAGAACAGTCTGATTCTTTATTCTCTTCATTGATAAAAATCTGTGTATTTTCTACTTTCACCTGAAAATTAAACTCTCAGCTTATTGCCTGCCCTCCACCTGGGGTCACTACATTTTTTCTCTAAAGGGTCAGATAGCAAATATTTTAGGCTTTGTGGACCACATAAGGTCTCTGTCATATATCCCTTTGTTTTGTCTTTAAAGAAATTTTTCATTTTATATTTTGTTTTTGTTAATCCTCTCCATTTATTTATTTATTTTTTTAGAGAATGGAAAGAGAAAGCGAGGGAGACAGAGAAACATCAATGTGAGAGAAATACATGGATTGGTTGCCTCCTGCATGTAGGCACCCCAACCAGGGCTGGGGATTCAGTATGCAACCGAGGTATGTGCCATTCACTGGAATTGAACCTGGGACCCTTCAGTTCTCAGGCTGAGTGAGCCAAAATGGCGAGGGCATCCTTTTTATTTTTTAAACAACCCTTTAAAAATGTAAAAACATTGACTGCCAGGCAAAAGGCCTCTGGCTGCCTTAGTTTATTAACCCCTGCCCTAAACAATTAATTTTAAATGGGCCCTAACTAGCCTATTTGGAATTTATTGGAATTTTACTCATCCAGACTTCTGAAGATAAATTGAAGGGGGAACTAAAGCCAACATGTTGGTAATTCAAAAAGGCCCGAGGAGAATGAGGTCTCCCAGTGCTCCCCTAAGGCTACGAAGGGTGACCTTCACTGGGCCTGGCTTTGCCTTCAGAAGTCTGGACTCCAGGAAGCTGGCCATCAGGGTTAAAACTGAAATAAAAACACTAACAAAGCCAGTTTATGTTACCCTGCCTCCCAGGTAGTGAACGTGGAAAACGGCAGGCTAGTCATTAAAACCTCTCTGGGCTTAGCTCCTCCTGCATACATTTCACTCATGCTTCCGAGTCAAATTAAGCACAAATCAAGCCCAGGACAGAAATCCAGGCTGGGGTAGACTCCAAGATATGGATCCTGATTGCTCCAACATGGTTCAGCAGATTCCACAAATGGTGAGAACTTTATTTTAATAAAAATGCCTGCTTTTTGAGCTAGCTCCTTCCCCCACCAGTAGAAAACGCTTTATTGTTAAAAAGCAATCCATTTATTTCGTCACACTCTTTTTAGGCAATTTTAACTTTTTCCACCGTCGTAAGACCACTCTGTATTTTTCACTTTCAGTCTTCTCTTCAAACACTTTTTTCAGGAGAATCCGCATCACTACCTCTGTTTCTGTTTCCTTATCTTCTCCAATTAGAACATCCAACGTATCTCCCACTTTCACCTGAAATTTAAGAGACAACAGAACCTTTATTACATCTTGGGAAATGCAGGCCAATGCAAACATCTCTGCTTTGAGTTTTCACCAGGTGATCATCACCCAGGGGCAGGTGAGAAAAGGTCCTGACTCCTCTGTAACAGTCACTTGGTTCCTAGGAAAACACTCAGCTGCCTGCCTCCAACACGTGCACCTCAATACCAGTCAGTGTCCTGCCTTCAGACCTAGACAACTGGCAGCTTGTGGCAGTCCCTGTGTGGTGTGACTCAAATACCTCTATTGGATGATTTAAAGACACATCTGCATGGAGACACTTATTTTGATAACAATGGCAAAGACAAAAAGCGGGGCACAGTCTTAGAGATTTTTAAAAATATATATATATTATTGATTTTTTACAGAGAGGAAGGGAGAGGGATAGAGAGTTGGAAACATCGATGAGAGAGAAACATCGATCAGCTGCCTCCTGCACACCCCCTACTGGGGATGTGCCTGCAACCAAGGTACATGCCCTTGACTGGAATCGAACCTGGGACCCTTGAGTCCGCAGGCTGACACTCTATCCACTGAGCCAAACCAGTCAGGGCCACAGTCTTAGAGCTTATGTGCATAGTAATTACTACATGCACTGAGAAGACAATTTCCAGTGTAACACTTTTCACTGATTTTAATCCAGATGCGATACATGATCATGCTCTAGACCAGTGGTTCTCAACCTTGGCTGCACATTAGAATCATCTGGGGATCTTTTTAAAATCCTGACTTCTGGGCCTCATCTCTGGAAATTCTGTTTCTTTGTTACTAATGTTGTGGCCCCACCCCATAGCAAAGAAACAGAATTTCCGGAGGATGAGGCCCAGAAATCAGGATTTTAAAAAGATTCCCAGGTGATTCTAATGTGCAGCCAAGGTTGAGAACCACTGCTCTAGGCAGTTTGCTGGAAGTCACTATGGAACAGTGCTCAGCTGTACCTCTTGGAGAAATGGAAAAAGCTGTACAGTGGGGCCTTGACTTATGAGTGTCCCGACTAACGAGTTTTTTGAGATACCAGCTGTCTCGGCCGATTTTTTGCATTGAGTTGATAGAGTAATTTGAGTTAACGAGCTCGGTCTCGGAACGAATTAAACTCGTAAGTCAAAGCCCCACTGTATCTGCTTTTCTCGAACTGACTGGCCCCAGTGATGCCACATCATCAAGAGAAACAAGAAACAGACCAAAGGGATGGTTACCAGAAGGTGGGGAGCGTGGGGGGGGGGAGGGGGAAGCGCAGGGGATGTGGACAGGTGAAAAAGGTGAAGGGGAATATGGTTAATAATATTGTGATAAACTGGCATGGTGATAGGTGATTACTAAAATTAATAAAGTGATCACACTTTAAGGTATAAAGATGTCAAATCACTACATTGTACACCTAAAACTAATATAATTAATATAATATTATATACCAACTATACTTAAAAAAGGAGAGAGAAAGACAGGACTCACAAAGATGAATGCCACAGAAAAGAGGGTCAAGCTGGATGCTGATTCAGTAGGTTCAAAGGGCTGAGGTCAAATCCATTCCTGCCCAGATGGAGATTTGGGTTGAGCTAGTACAGGGCATGCCTAGGGCATTCAGTCATTGTTGCCAGGGTGCTGAGAGCCCAGGATGGACCCCTGGTCGAAGCAATGCCGGATCCCAGGGGATCTGCCCAGCAACCAAGGAAGGGGCTAAACTGCCCCACATGCCATGTGCTTCTTCCACTAGAACACAAGCAGGGATGACCAGGGCCATCTCAGACTGCTCACCTTCTTCCAAGGGGAAGGGGGACCCATGTGTGGGCCATGGACTTGAAGTGGACACACATGACCACTTAAAATCCCACTAGAAGGCTTCTGGATAAGAGGCATGATGCCAGATGCCGACTTTTACTTTATTTTCCAATGACTGCTCTCTGAGGCAGTCATAATTTCATGCTTTCGGGAACATCTGTTCTCCCACCCACACAAGGCTTTTGTAGGCACAATACTCTGCACACCTGCTCACCATGATACCACACTGGTCAATCCAGACAGCCCAGAGCAGGCGGGTGAAAAACCCACACAGGGGCCTGTTTTAGACCATTAACTCTCTCCCCTTTGGGCTGAGAACCAGAAAGGCTCACACCACAGCCAGGCATGAAGACTGCTTCTCCCCTAGGTTTGAAGGATGGACTGACCTAGGAATCACCTGGGGTGGGGGGATCCTCCTGTAGTTCTGCTGGGTTCAGTTAAATAATAATAACCACACAGCTCCAACTGTGTGGACACTTAAAATTAATGTCCAAAAATACAAGGCTTGGGGATGTGTTTCATTAAAACTCATTTTAATTAAGTAATGTATGCACACGACATGAAATTTAAAAGGACATAGGGGAAGGGCATGCCTTCTTGTGTACCTTCTCATAGACATACTGTAAGGGAAGGGCAGGCTCACATGTACCTGAAAAGCGGGAAGGAACCGTTCTCCTCCCCCCACCCCATCCCAGAAAGAGAATTCAGGAAGGCTGCAATCCCCACACCTGGATTCACCGCACTCCTGTCTGAATCACCAGTTACCCAGCACCTACAGCACTCTGGGTCCCAACTGGTTTGCAGCTCACAGAACAGCTCTGCCCAGCTGCAGGAAGCCAGGGTTACAGCTGCAGCATCAGGCAAGCGCCTGACCCTTCAGGCCAGCAGCCAGGCACGGGCCCCACGGAGCGGGCCATGCACGGGAGGTGTTCTTTATTCCTTGCAAGGCCCTGTCCTTCCTAATGTGGGAGACGGCACAGCAGACACAAAGCAAACTGGGATTAGGGACAGTTCCAAATATCTACATTTCAAATCTCCCCTTAGCTGCAGTTACTATGGCTACCAGGTCTCCTAGTAACAGGCAGCAGAATGTTAATACTAGCCCCTTCCTTTGCTGACCCTCAGGAGAAATCTGGAAGGCAGCCGAGATAACAGAACACCCAAGGCAGAATAAAGCAGCAGCAATTAGGCTGTAGTTAACAATATCTCGTAGCAGAGGGAGAATAGGCCTGTGGCGTTTGTAAATGAGACCCCAGCACAGGCGCACCGTGCACCAAGGGGTCTTGCCTTTGGAACATTGCAGCTGGTGAGAGGGGCTGGACTACAACCCCAAAAAAGCAATAAGGGTGGAGAAGGGCCCCATCTCCAGAAGCGTGGCCGTAGCGCCTGATTTCCTGTGGCTCACGGAGCAATGACTGACACCCAGTCAGCTAGTCAGGTGCCATCAGAGGGAGAGTGGGCCTTGTGACTTGGCGGCTGACCCAGTGCTGAGGAGTCCCCTTATCCTGTCCACGCTGATCCTGAAAGGACTCTGAAGAAAGCCGCAGCGCTCACCCAGGTCCATGGCCATCGGCTCACACCCTCCCAGGTCCCAGGGCAACAGGAGACAGCTTAGGGCCTCCAACCTCTGGGATGTTTTGAAATATGAGAGAAGCTAAAATAAAAACAACGTCCAAAAGTGTGTCTAACTTGCCCGGAACACTGGTTCCCTGGATACTAGGAGGTAGATTATGTCTGCCAATGCCTCAGAGGTCTGTCTTTCTAACTTTTTAAGGGTCTTTGTCATTCATATTTTTGTTTTGTTAACTTTTACCTTCATTATTTTATTTTCCAATTATGAAAGGGACACATATTTGTAAGAAATCCAGAAAATAAGAAGCATGAAGAAAATATAACCCATAATGTCCCACCCAAAGAATACTAGTAATATTAATAATTTAATTCTAGATGCATATATTTATGTAATTTACTTTTACAAAAATACATATATTTAATAGAATTAACAAATATGATTTACTGTAACACTGGATACTGGAAATAAATGTTCTAAGTGACTTCTTTTGCTTACAGTAGTGTTGATGTGGAGCTGTCAAGAGAACATGACCCCTCCTGCCTGCACAGAGCAGGGTACCCAGCAGGTGCTGGGGGGAGGGGTGTCCTCCGCCCGCACAGAATTACACATCTGCTCAGGTAACAGCGGGCCAAAAAAACCTCTCCATAGATCAAATATTTCTTTTTAGCCAGGTTATTATGACTGAGAAGTTTAAATTATAGATTTTTGCCAGTCATCTGGCAAAAATCTGATTGTCATCTTGAAATTTTAAAGAAAAAAAAGGGGGGGAAAAAAGAAAAAAAAGGGGAAGCTTCACCTCAAAGTCATTATGGCTGCAAAAGAGCAAGTGATCTGTGTGACTAAAGCCAGCTGGTGATTCATTTTCACTAGCGTGACCAGGACTGGGGAGACCTGAGAAATGGTAAGAAAAGACACAAGGATGCCCCAAGTAAGGAGCCCGAGGGGAAGGTAGGGGCATTAACTGAGTACTTGCAAAGCAACAGACAAAAACATCTGGCTGTCTTATTATCTCACCGTTCTGCTTTTCTTCCACAATTTTTCCCCGTTCAGCCTGAGTTCACCTTTGTAGAATGCATCTTCCACTTTGCTTAAAAAAAAAAGTCAAAGTGCTTTAAAATAGAAATATATTCAGAACCATTACACAAGTCTGAGAAACACACCTGCCATTGATGCTTATTCTGACAGTGACGCGTACCTCCCCACAAAATCTTCAGCCTGGGTGCTGGGAAAGTGAAAGGCAACTGCTCCCTATGTATCTAAAACAGGGAGACCAAAGGGTACTTCTAAGTAGACGCTGACCTGCTGCAAAGAGTTGCTAGTACCATCAGGCAGGTAATCAGTACCTTGATGGGGCTTTCCAAGAGGGCTCGGCACCTGCTCCAGCCCTCTCGGAAGGGGGCCCAGGTTCTCCACCTGACTCCCTGTGCAGCAACTCCCTTCAAGGTGGCAGCGCCTGTGATTCTCAACAAAGTAATGAGCACTCGCTCCCCCTCACATACCTGCTCTGTGCTCTGACTGAAAAACCAGGCACCACACGTGTGCTGAGGCCATTAAGAAACCCTCACTGGTCTGCACTGAGATTGGGGAAACTCCAATCCAGCAGCTGCTGATCTGTCTGAATTTAATCACTGGGCAACTAGACCAGGGAAGGATGCAGACAAAAATCAATGCCCTTTCTTCCTGAAGCTCTGATTCCAAGTGACTGACATCTGGGGTTCTGCTTAATTACAGCAGCAGCAGCTACTACCCTGGGAGAGGAGAGGACCCCTTATGAGTTTGTCAGATTTTAGAGAACATTCAACAAATCCTAATCAGGTTGCCTATGGGCTGAGTCACCTTTATGAGTCCTTATGCTCCATAGATTGAAAAAAACTAAACTATGCCATTAAGTTAGGTCATAAAAGTACAAATTACATAAGGAAATCTTTCTGAATTTATCATTCATACCGCAATTCTTACCTTGAGTGCAATATGCACACAATGATTACTACAGGAATGAATGAATAATGAGGGTCACTATTCTTATATAATTATAGTCTAAGAGAGAATGAGATTAAAGAAATCTTGAAAGTTATACTATCTCTGTGCACTATATATGAACACACACAGTATTTTCGTCATCACAGGTAACATATTGAGTACCTACTATGTGCCAGGCACTGCTATAAGTGCTTTAGATACATAGAGAAATACTCATTTAATCCTACCATTTCCTTCTAGAGCAGGTTCTATTATCCTCATTTTACAGATAAGGAAACTGAAGCACAGAGAATTTATGCCCAAGGTCATACACAGAATCAGGATTCAGACATTAGTGGTCTGGCTGCAGAGCCTGCATTCTTTTCTTTCTTTTTTAATCCTCACCCGAGGATATTTTTTCCATTGATTTTTAGAGAGTGAAAGGGAAGGAGGGGAAGGAGAGAAACACAATGTGACACACATCAATTGAATGCCTCCCGTACTCGCCCCTAATGGGGCTGGGGAACCTGCAACTGAGGTATGTGCCCTTGAATGGGAATCAAACCTGAGACGCTTCAGTCAGTCCACAGGCCAATGCTCTAACCACTGAGAAAACTGGCCAGGGCCAGAGCCTGCATTTTTTTTTTCTTAAATATATTTTTATTAATTTCAGAGAGGGAGAGAGAGATAGAAACATCAATGATAAGAGAGAATCATTGATCGGCTGCCTCCTACACGCCCTCCACTGGGGATCGAGCCTGAAATCCAGGCATGTGCCCTGACCAGGAATCGAACCGTGACCTCCTGGCTCATAGGTCAAGACTCAACCACTGAGCCACGCCAGCCGGGCCAGAGCCTGCATTCTTAACCACCATGTTATACTGCTTTCGTTGATTCTAAGAGGCATTTTTTTCACGCTGCAGTATTTGTAAAACCCACATGCATTTATGCTTACAATATACATCTTTTTTTTTTGCAATATACATCTAACACAGTGATTCCTTTTCTCCTCAAAGATGTTATTAAATTAATGGTTCATCTTACAATCTTCTGGGAGATTTAGAAACAAGGAAATATGGCACGTGGGATTTGCAGTCACTTGACTTCTTTGGGAATCAATTTTTTTGTCTATAGAAATGAAAGAGGTTTCCTCTAAGGTCTTTTCATATTTATGGTTACTCTTCACCACAATACTGATAATGCTACGTTAAAATAACCAACAAGAAGACAAGTGATTTTGTAATGAAATGCACATCATACTTACTTTCTGCCAATATCTAGGCCTGTCTTTAGGATAACATCATACCGAAAGGACTGCACTACTTTCTCCAGGTCTTTATAGTCTTTGACGACACTGGGGTCATCCTCCAGCTCCTCTTCTTGCTCACTCACTTCATGATCACTCTCTTCATCAGAGTCCTCTTCAGCTTCAACTTTCTGCAGAGTCTTTTTAGTGGACTTTTTAGAGCTTATATTACTTTTGAGTCTTATAGAAAACGGGAAAATATATTCTGGAGCTATTAAAAGTCCTGGGAGTCTCAGTGAGAAAATGTTATGGAAAAGTGTTTTATAACTTGGTGCATTTAATTTGGTACTAGAAAAATAGAAGTACCGATTCCAGGAAGCACAGAGTTTGTGTGAAGGTGTCCCTCGTAGCGCTCCCCAGAGTCCAATCCAGGCATCTGGCTTTCTTAAAATACTGGTGGGCAATCTGACACTAGTCATAGCCATGGTGCATACAACCTGCAACAGACAATGACTCAGTTTTACTTCACAAGTGCAGTGTCCTGGCATTCTTACAACACAAACCACACACACACCACGAACGCTTTCTACCTCTACGGTACTGAAGCTCCCTACAAAAGGCCATATCGGTTTGTATGTACGAAGGGCCATGCAGTGAACCATGGTGAGTCTTCAAGCTGCAATTAATGTGCTTGCCTTATAGCAGTGATGGCGAACCTATGACACGCGAACTCATTTTTTTGGTTGATTTTTCTTTGTTAAATGGCATTTAAATATATAAAATAAATACCAAAAATATAAGTCTTTGTTTTACTATGGTTGCAAATATCAAAAAATTTCTATATGTGACACGGCACCAGAGTTAAGTTAGGGTTTTTCAAAATGCTGACACGCCGAGCTCAGAAGGTTCGCTATCACTGCCTTATAGGGTGGCCATAAGGGTCATACTAGATGCTAATATCTGTGAAAACACTGGTTCTACTCTTTCCAACCCCTGAATTAGCTTGGTACTGATTAATACTGAAAAATATTAACAATAGTTCTCAATTTTTTTTTTAAAGAAAAATCTCATGGAGAGAAAGACTATTTACTGACATACAGTACATCCTTACACTATTGGCTTTGCCAAGGAAGGACACAGATCATGACTTCCTAAAACCCAGAGTGAATCTCTAAACTTTATTTCAGCCTCCAACCCCAGCAAAGCAGAGCTAGGAATGAACCAACTGGACAGGTGTGCATTTTACCACCTTTTACCTTTGACATCTTCCCACTGTTTGCAGAGGCATTAGCTAGCAAAGAAAAAAGATGCTTGGAGACCACAAGCTAGGTAATTGTTTCGAGGCACGGAGGTGCTGACATGCCAGAGAGCAACCAATTCTTACAGTACCTCAAAGGCAGTAGAAACTATATTATTATGATGGTGGCAGACTGTTCCCATGCCCATCAAGATGGTTTTAACACCATGAATAGTAATGCGAGAAGGGTTGCCATGTGGTCAGTGCCCGCGTACTCCAAGTCTGCAAGTGACTTTGCGCCAAGGCTATATCCTTTCAGACTGATTTGGTAATGATTCGCACGACTTCTCCTTCTTACTCTCCATTCATCACAAAGCTGACAACAGCAATTACCTGTAAGCTCACTCAACAGCTCATAGCTAGCTACTTCTAAATTATATTTGTTAACATTTTGGGCCTTATTTTTGTTGGCATGAATGAGGCAGACTACAGAAGCTTAACTCTATATTTTAGTGCTCTTGGGACCCCAATGTGAGCTGTAAATGAGAAATAAAGCAGGCTCAATTTGAGGGCTGTTTTTCAACACAACTATAATTTGAAATGATTTTTAAATGCTACGAAATCCCTAGAGTACTCTAAAATACTGACTAGAAACTACTTGAAGCATCTTAAAGAGAAATACTGATATTTATACACATGGTCTATCTAATCTAATATGGAACAGATAATAATCATTCATAGAAAGAACTTTAAATTTTATATCAGCAGTGATAAAGAAAATAGTTTATGGCCCACTACAATTAATTTTTTTAAAGTTACCTAATGATGAACTACTTTTTATTTTACCAAGTATTTTTTACCCTTTATTTTGCCAAGAAGGAATTTTTAGTAGTAATGTAATTTTTAAAAGAGATTTCAATGATTATATATGAAATATATTTTCATGGCAGAAAATCTGAACCCTGGCTGGGTAGCTCAGTTGATTGGAGCATCATACCGATACGCCAAGGTTTTGGGTTCAGTCCCCTTTCAGGGCACATACAAGAGGCAAACAATGAATGCATAAATGAATGGAACAACAGGTTGATGTTTCTCTCTCCCTCTCTCCTCCTTTCTTTCTCCCTTCCTCTCTCATTCTAAAAATAAATAAATAAATAAAATTTGAAAAAAAAGAAATTTTGAAAAAAATTTTTAAAAAGTCAAATTACCAATCATCTCCTCTATGATACTACTGTTCACATTTTTGGTATATATTCTTCACAGTGTAAAATTTTAAGAAAAATAATTCCCTTACTAACAGGTCCTCTCATACCTAACCACTAAGCCAAAACACACAGGAAGGTTAACCATAAGTGGCCAGAGCTCTCCATCATCAGCCTCAGGAATTCTGTGTTGGGCTTAAGTTCTACACTCATTAGAATTTATCCAGGTGATGTCTAAGTTATGGGCTAAGACAGTCTTGGTTGAAATCACCCCCTGCTGTTGGGCCTAGACTAGACTGGTTTATAAGATGCTCATGTAATGGAAAAGATGAAGACTGACATTAATAATAATGATTTGGCCCTGACCGGTTTGGCTCAGTGGATAGAGCATCGGCCTGCGGACTGAAGGGTCCCAGGTTCGATTCCGGTCAAGGGCATGTACCTTGGTTGTGGGCACATTCCCAGTAGGGGGTGTGCAGGAGGCAGCTGCTCGATGTTTCTCTCTCATCGATGTTTCCAACTCTCTATCCCTCTCCCTTCCTCTCTGTAAAAAAATCAATAAAAAAATATATATATTTAAAAAAAATAATAATAATGATTTGCCCATCTTTAAGTGAGTGTTTTTTAAACTGTGGGTCATGAACCATTATGAAAATGTCTACTTTTTAAGAGCTACAACTGAAGGGTATAGAGAATATTACAGTGCATCACATATAGCAAGAGTAAATACTGCTAATAGTGCTTCATGAAACTTTTGTTACATTTACTCACATATGCATATATGTATGTACACACACACACACACACACACACACACTGGGTCATCATGTAAAATGCATTTACTGTGGATCACAATAAACAAAAAGTTTGAAAACACTGGTCTAAGTGACTTCAGCAAATTATTTTTTGCTATCAGGTATAATGCCAAAGGCCATATGTATGCCTTGGAGCTCAGGCCTGGCTTCATGTTCCATCCCAATTAACAACACTCCCAGGGCTGTTCCTGTCTGCAGAGACAGCAAAGGCAGCCTCTCAGGGATAACTCTGTGCAAGATCCTCATTTTACAAAAGAATACAAATGAAAATTGGACCAATTTAACACGTTGCTAAGTCATACAGCTAGTAAGTGATATAGCCAGGATTTCAATGACAAGTCTTAACACTCACTAATTACTATGGGTCAGGCATTGCTCTACATATGAACTCATTTATTCCTTCCAACAAGCCCATCTGAGTTACATGGTCACACAGACACTAAGCGGACTCAAAGCCAGGCTCCCTGGCTCCTAATCCAGGCTCTTGGCTACCATGCTGAATCGCCCACCAATCTTCTGACTCCAAATCCAGTGCTCTTTCTGCTACACCAGTGGTTCCCAACCTTTTTTTGGCCATGCCCCACCTAAGCATCTCTAAAATTCTGATACCTCCCCCCGACCCCGTGCCATATAATTCTTGTTATTCAAAAAGTGAACTCCTATTCACGTGGAGGAAGTCTAAAAGGCCATTAACAAGGTTGTACAAGCTTCCAAAGAATATGGCATCCATGAAAGAGAAAAATAAAAGAACAAAAGGACAGTTGAAATACTGAGGAAGAAGTCACTAAGAAATTGTTTTAAAAAATAATAATATGAAGTGATATGAAAAAAATAGCAAATAAAGTTTCAAAACATATGAGAACTGAAATGCATAAGTATGTCACAATATATATTTATATACTGTATATAAGGCCCCTAGAATTATAAGAAATGCAAAAAATTCAGTTAATAACTCATTCTTGAATTACCCCCCTTAAAAACCAAATTGCCCCCCTGTGGGGCATGTACCCCACGTTGGGAACCACTGTGCTATACCATGACGTTTCTCATTTTCTTTGGACAAAAGCTAACCTTCACCGACTGTAATACTAGAGAGAATGAAGAGTTTCAGGAATAGTGGAGTGGAAGTGTCGTCCTCGTGTAGATGAAATCCTAAGAGGAGACATACTTGGGGAGGGAAGTCCTCTCTGTGTCAGTCCCTGGACTCCCACATACCCCATCCCAGAGTCCTGCCATTATACCACACTGTTGTCTCTGTGAGGAATGCCAGATATGATGGTGCTCTCTGCATACATCACACAGTTAATAGTTATCTACACTAGGAAACTTTTACTAGCACAAAATTACTTTAAAATCATACTCATGTAATTACAATAAACATAACCAAAATGGCAAGCCAAGCATTACCTCTGATTCTGCCCAGAGCTTTGAAACTCAGATTTGCAGCAGTTGAACGTTGACCCTGTCAGGGCACCTGCCCAGGTTGCGGGCTCGATCCCTGGTGCGGGGCATGCAGGAGGCAGCCGATCGATGTGGTTTCTATCTCTCTATCCCTCTCCCTTCCTCCTCTCTCTCTAAAAATATCAATTAAAACATTTTTGTTGTTGTTGTTGTTAAGAAAGAAACCCGGATTCTGCCTCAGAGTTTTGAAACTAGTCAGAGACGTGGGAGTGCCAGAGGAGAGGGCTAAGGAAGCAGGCCCAGCCCCTCTTCAACCAGAACAGCAAGCAGTGCTGGTGAATACTGGGGTTCGTTGTATTTCATTGAAAATAAGGATTCTACTACTGGAAAAAAGTTCCTATCCTTTTAACATGGCCTCTTCTCTTCCAGGCTCCACACAAAATCCAGGCCTCTCCTCCACCCTCCCCTGCCCCCACTCACCGTGCCCTTTTCCAAACTCATGCTGCACCAATGCTATATGTCTTTTGTACTATTCTTATCTCCTAAGGGCAGTGACAGGGCAGGAACTGTAGCCCATTTCTCACTCCATCCCCAATCTGCTCAGCACACACAAAAACCAGTGACTACTTGAAGATTCACTTTCGAGAAATGAAATGAGCATCCTACCTATTACTACATCCACTCATATGCCAAGTGGCCAGCGAGGGCTACATAAAACACAGTCCTGTCAAGAAGCTGCCACTGAAGTGGAATGTGGGTGTCAGAGAACATTAAGTGAAAGCTGAGGTCGAGGAGGCTGTTCTTGCACAGGTTGGAGCCAGAGCAGGGATGCCTGAGGAGAGTTCTGATGGCAAAAGTGGCCGGAAATGGAGCTTTGAGGAAACAGAAAGTTACCACAGTAATTTTTCACTTTCTAGTGAACCATTCTCATCAGCATGCTGTTATTTCTCATTCAAAACAAACCAACGAACCTCTTAACCCCACTACCCCCCAGCTGCTCTTTCTTGCTCCTCTTTACAACAAAACTCCTCAAAAGGGTTGTCTATACTCTCTTCAGTGCCTCTCATTTCTAAATCCAAAAGGTCAGCTTTTGCCCCGTCTTATCTTACATTCTCAGTAGCATTTGAAACAACTAATCACTCTTTTCTTTTCCACTTGGTTTCAGGACACCTCATTCTCTGCTTACCTCCTACCTCACTGGCTGCTGCTTTTCGACACTTCTTTGATGCTTCCTTCTCTTCTCCCTGACATCTTAATGTTGGAGGGCGCTAGGGCTCAGCTTTTGATTTTTCTCTCTTCTACATTCACATCATCCAGCTCGATCAGTTTTGGCAAATGTTTATCAAGACACCAGGCATTTCCATGGCTTTAAGTACCACCTACTAGTAAATGCCAATGACTCCCTATATCTGTATCACCATTCCAGACCTTTCTTCCAAATTCCAGACTTGTATGTCTGTGCAGAACAGTTACTATAGTAGGCCCGAGACTGCTATCCTTAGAAAGCCCGCTTGCAAGGTGGCCCTTGGCTGGTGTCCGGGAACTTGGATTTCAGGAGGGTTCTCACCATTCACAGAACGGACAGGAGTGGCTCACTGGGCCTAATCTGTCTGTACAAACTACTTGATTTATGCTGAATACCTGCTTTCCTTCTGCGAGTCTGGAATTTTGGTTCATTCTCGATAGAGGGTGCCTATGTGACTAAATCCTAATAAACACCTGGGGCCCTGACTCTCTAATGAGCTTTCCTGATAGACATTTCCCATGTTGTCACAATGTGTTGCTGGGAGAATTACGCACGTCCAATGTGACTGCACTGGGAGAGGACTCTTGGCTTGGAAGACTGACCCTGGCTTCCTCCAGTCTGTCTCATGCATCCTCTCCATTGCTGGCTGTGCTTTGTATGCTTTTGCTGTGACCCACAGCTGAGTTCTATTGAGTCTTCCCAGTGAATCAATGAACCTGGAGGTGGCCTTGGGGACCCCCGACACAATATCCAATTGCCTATTCCGTATCTCCAGTTCAGTGTGTAAGTGTGTAACAGGCACCGGAAACAACGGGTCCAAAAACAAACTCCTGACATATCCCCAGTCCCAAATCTGCTTCATCTGCAGCCTTCCCCACCTCAGTCAGTGATAACTCCACCCTTCTAGTTGCTAAGAACTAAAGCTTCTGGTCATTCTCGACTCTTCCCTTTCCCTCAGGCCCATATGCATGATGTCAGGACATCAAGTTCCATAGCTCACCATTTCCTCTGCTACCACAGATTCAGGCCACCTCCTCTATCACCAGGGTTACCCACAAAGGCTCTGTGAGAGCCTGTTCTCCATAGTGGTCAGTGATTCTTTTAAAAAGTAATTTACACCATGTCACTACTTTCCTCAAAACCCTACGAAAGCACCGAGAAAAGCAAAATCCCTACCATAGCCTAAAGCAGCGGTTCTCAACCTGTGGGTCGCCTAAGACCATCCTGCATATCAGATATTTACATTACGATTCATAACAGTAGCAACATTGCAGTTATGAAGTAGCAACGAAAATAATTTTATGGTTGGGGGGGTCACCACAACATGAGGAACTGTATTAAAGGGTGGCGGCATCAGGAAGGTTGAGAACCACGGGCCTAAAGGCTTCCTGGGATCTGGCCCCTCCGTTTCCTCTCTGACCTCATGTCCAGCCTCTCTGGCCCTTGCTCACTCAGCTCCGGCCACACTGGCCTCCCTGATGCTCCTCAAACACAACAGGCACATTTCTGGGGAGAGTCCTTTGTGCCAGCTGCACCTAGAACACTCTTGCCCCAGATGTCTGCACGGACAACGCATCTTCACTTCAATGAGATCCACTCATTCGGACTCTACTTAATAGGCATCTCCCCCTCCCAATGTCCCCTGACTCTGCTCTCGTTTCTTCCCCCATAGCACTGATCATCTGCTATCATGATCTAACTTACTGGTGGCTTTTTAATGTTTATTTTTTGCCTGTCTCCCCTGCTAGGATAAACAATCTACAAGGGCAGGGATCTTCACCTGTACCCTTTCCTCTGCTGAATCCTAAGTGCCCAGGATAGCACCCGGCACGTGGTAAGTGCTTAATGACTGTGGAATGAAAGGAGATCAGGGCTGGAACATTGGAGTCCGAAAGAGCACAAAGAAGATGCGGCTGGCTGGAGGGGTAAGCAGCTAGTCTCCAAAGGCCTCGCGTATCTTAGATCTCCTTGGACTTGACCCAGAGGGCATGGGAACCATAAGAGGTCCCAAGGAGGTAAGCGACCCGGGAGGAGAGTATTTTAAAAGATTTCCTTGGCGACACCGTGACTGCGCACAGGGGTGCTCGAGGCAGTGAGCCCCACGGCGGTTTCGGGCGAGATTTCAGGGGAGAGATAAAACCTGTGGACGAACCGAAGGCTGCAGAGGCCACGCGGTCCTGGAGCTGCGGGGTCGGTGCAGTTCCCGAGCCTGCTCGCTACTCCATCAGGAGGACCTGGTCTACCTGCTGCAGGTTTACTGCAATTAGAAAGCCTCCCTGCCCCTGGAGACCAGAGGAGACCGGGCTGGCTGCAGGGACGAGGCCGGGCTCTCCTCGCTCCCTCCCCACGCCCGCGGGCTGCGCACCTTCCCGCTCCTCAAGGTCAAGGGGAACGGAACACGAGCGTCCCCGAGCTCCCGGTCTGCGCCGGGAGACAGCAGTAGGTGCCGAGCGTGGGGGCGGACAGTCTCGGCC